ATAAGTCTATTCAATAGTACATGTGTGAAAACTTTACCTACCACACTTAACAAGCTTATTCCTCTGTAATTATCACATATGCTTCTATCTCCCTTCTTGAATAATGGGACCACTACTGCTTTCACCCGGTTTCAAAATTCGGTGGCGCCGACGGAGCGATTCACTTTAATTAGCATGCCAAATTAGTACGTCATAGCTGTATGATGTCCAGACCACATCTCTAGATGCAGCTTTCCACAAGGATTCCGAATATTACCTTGCTGAGACTTGAAAGTGAAATTGAAGTGCGGAGAAAAACGCATTTTTTGGAAAACTCAAATTTTTGAGGTTTAAGAGTACTTGTGAGTATTTTGCGTTTTTCTACCTGAAGACTTGGTCTAAACTAAAAAATAAGGTGATATTCGTGATCAGCGTGATGTAAGCTATCGGAACATGTATCTAAAAAGAAAATAGAAAATGTGTGGAAACTTTGAATTAGCAGCACCTTAGAGAATAATCTAAATAATATATTTCTATCAAAATCTATCATTAAAAGTCAAAACAGGAGAGTGGGCCATTAGTCTGTCTTATGCGCTCCCGTCCTTTATAGGGTTGAGATAAGCGACCGTGAAAGTGATTAATCGCCATTAAGATAGGAAACGTCCCTCTGTACTGTTTTATTGGAATAGTTTCAGAATCGACATGAATAAACGATAAGAACAAAGCTTTTTGAACTTCATAGTACAATAATGCTTTAAACTATATTAGCAACTTCGTACTTTTGAACTTAAATACAGTATAACTTGCAAAAATACCTGCATATGCCAAAATTTTGGTAGAAACGAAAGTCTTCAGGATAATTCAAACTATACCGAGGTTGAAAAAAGGGTTGAGACTTTTCTATTTTTCATGCAGTAACACATACAAATGGAATGTTTGGTACCGGATTGATGAAATTTTTCTCAATTATAAACTTCTTAATTTAAAAGTTGAATTGGATTGCTGTTTTCGTTAAAAAAGAGCGTGTGAAAAATCAGCTATACATGAAAAACGCAGGTAACGCACAGACATTTTTTAAAGTACGAACGAATGTATCTCGAGAACGATAAGAGAGAGAGACTTCAAATTTTTAACAAATATGTAGGTAAACAAACTCTATAATGCTTAAATCTTACAGCCTCAACCGTCTGCCTGTTTGGATTTTTTAAGTAAAATACTGGTCGGTAACGCACAGACAAAAAAGACCCTCTTCTCTCGATAGATGTGATAAATCCTGCGAACTACTCCATGTTCATGAATTGCACAAGAGAGGTTTTTTCTAACTGATCAGGGCTGTCTTTTGTTGAAAAGAAAACATTGATACCTTGAAACACGATTGACTTATTAACAAAACATCAGGTAACGCACAGACACGAATTTCAAAAAGAAATTCCTAAATCTAAAATATTATTTCGTATTTGGAAATATCACTTCAGAATATCAACATAATGATGTTCATTTGTATTTCAAGCAGCTAGTCCACTTCAAAACATACCCGAGTCAATCGGATTCCAACGAACTTCTATCACCGTCGGTGAACTCATCCATATTTTCTTCACCGACTTTAACTTCGAGTTATGTTGGTGAAAATTCACAGCAATCGCTGACAAAAAAAGTGTCAAAAACAGCGGTCTCCACTAATGATCCAATAACAGACGATGTTATGGAGGGAAGTGGTGGTGGTGGTGATGAAGTTGAGCAAGAACAACTGATCCAGCCCGAAACCAGTGATGGCGCTGCCAGTGAAGAATTAGTGCCACAGGAACGCATCTCTCCACACTCACAACCAGTTTTTGAAGAAGATGTTGTGTGCATCGAAGAATCATCGACTGCTCCGATCATCGACCGCAAGCCATTCGTTCAATTAGTATTATCGAATAAACCTCGTCTTTATACAAACGAGCAACTGGACGATTTATTGAATGCTATTGTATTCGCTAAAGCCATGAATTCGGTGATGAATGGCGCCGTCTTATTGCCGTTTAAATATCTGATTCCAAGTGACGATATGAAACCCCCAATACCATCATCCATCAATGACCATTCACCTCCACCAACACTACCAGCACGAAGAGAAGTCCGTACGAATACATTGTAAGTGATCGTTTTTAACAGTGATTTTCCGTCTAACAGACTTTCACCTCTCCAAATAAGCTCTTTGAAAAATTAGTAATTCTTTTAGCCCATTCACAATGACAACTCTTTCTTCTTCAATACGAACGGAGCACCGGTCCCGAAGTCCGATCACAGCAGCAACTCGTCCAATCGATATGCATCGTTCTACAGGGACAACATCGCACATTTCCACCGTCGCACCTCAACGTATTCAAAGACAAGCGTCGTCTCTATCTGATCGTCAATCGAACTGTAATCATCAGCCACAAATATCTGGGCGCCAGAGACCAGCAACATTGACCGACGTAACGAATTTTAATGAAGGCGATATAGAACAACATTATGAGCCGAAACGACGAATGCCGCCCATTACCGCTCAAACAGCTTCGGTGTTACAGGATGCCAAAGATTTGATTAGAAGAATGCACAAGTGAGTCATTTTTTATGTTTTATTTTTAACTAATTTGTGTCATCTGAACGTTTTAGCAATTTGGACAAAGAATTTGGGCCAGAAACTTAGTTAGAAGTGGCAATGACACGCACTGAAGAGTTCAAAATGTTTTTGCGAAAGTTGAAGTAGTTATAACCGGAGCTACAACTCAATTTGAAATTATAACTCGAGTTGAAATCAGTGAAAACCTCCAAATAAACGTTGAGTTAGAACTATTGTCTGTCCAAAAATTCAGTGGACTCGGGTATGTTTTGAATAACTCAAAGACAGTAAAAGATAGAGACCTACGGCTTTCGGCAGTCACAAGAGGACAATTTAAACTATAATTTCATAAGCAGAAACATTTTCTGTAAAAATTTTTGGAATCGGTTTTTCAAGGAATCTCTGGAAAACCAGTTCCAAAGTCAAAACTTTTACATAACAATCGATCGATTTTTTTCCATAAATAGATAGTCTAAAGTGTCCTCTACAAAATAAGATTTAAGCAAAAGTTTCATTTCGCTTGGTTCGGGAGCTTTGGATGTTTTTTCCGAAGTCCTGGAACTTAGAAGTTCCAGGACTTCGGAAAAAACATTTTTGTTTAACCTTATATGGTACATAGATGGATAGAAACAATAAGGGTAAAAAATTCTGGACGCACACATAAATTTTTTGTCCTTTTTTACAATGGACAAAGGCATTTTTCTTTATTCTTTTGAGGAGGGAAAAGAAGAAACGTGCAAGCGTTGTGATTCACAACCAAACGAAAGTACGTAAGTACGCAGCCGGGGTGTAACCGGTATCAAAAATGCGATACCGGAATCTATCGATGTTTATGTCTAATGCATTATTGGCCTGTAATATGACTCGAAATATGCTTCGCAGACATAACATATTGCTGTTTTCTAAGGTGTTTTAAATAATCTGCCTCTTACTCTGCAATTTTTGAATCTTTTTTCTGAAATTTTTGAATTTTTGATTAATTTTTTTTTTAATAGCACGAGAGCGAAAGCACGTAGGTTTTCACCATTTTATAGAAGATTTGGACTGTAAAAGTTCCCGTTGCGTTGATTTAACGCTAACTGAAAATACAGTTACCGCTGGATGGAGAAAATTGAGAATTACGAATTCTTTTTTTGTCCGTTTCTCTCTTCTTTTTTCGATTCAAACTGCGCGCGGCTTACATGGCTCAAATATTCTTCTTTTCATTTTACCTATTTTTGTTTGCTTCATCGGAGAGAGAAACTAAAAGTTTCTCGAGGAAATGTTGGACACTTTCCTTCACTTTAAAACCCTTTCGCGAGAATCGTGATTTCCGAATCTACGTTCGAAAGTTTTTCATGACTTTTTGTTGTGACATTTTTTCACATTTGTAAAATTTTGTTTAACAGTCTATGCGGAAAAGCTTGTAACTTAATTTTATGTATTTCTTGCTCCCAGATAAAGTCGACACAAATATCGTTCTACATCTCCGATTCAAAGTAGCATGCAACCTTTTGTTACAGTCTCGACTGAAATCCGAAATCGAAAAATTTTTTCATCCGACGTGAATCTAATCTAAAAAACCAATAAAGCTTAGAAGATAAAATTCAACAGAGATATGAACAAAATACTAAATGACCGATGTCTTCTGAAGCATCTGATATAACTTTTTATTTCATCTGAATCCCATCAGATGAACGCCGTTTAAATCTCTGTTTTCTGGTAAAAATGGTAAAACGGTTTGTAATAAACATATTTCTTTTTGTCATACATCAACGTAGTTCCTTGATGCCAACCGCAAGTTTCATCTTTTGCTTGTCATTACGTGACAACTTCAAATGTTTAACTCCTCTAATCCATCTAATCAAAACCACATTGTTGTAATAACGAACAACAAGTAACCGAAAGAAAATTTATTTATACTTAAACCTGAGGGTATGTCTCACAGCGAAAACTCAGTCTATAACTCTTTCTTTATGATTCTGAGCTTTTTGGCTACCATCTATATTCACTGTCAAAATAAAGGCGTCCACGAAAAGTGGGCCAGAGAATACTAAAGTAAAGGATAAGTTTGAATAACATCTAGAAACAATAAAACCAGCAGTGACAAACTATCTTGATTCTTTTAGATAAACCGAGTGAGTTGGTTAGCACATTTCATTAGCACATTTTGACATGATCAGCATTTCCTGACAGTTTGGTTCAGATCAGACCTACCTGGGATCGCGTAGATTTCTAATCCGGAAGGAGGACTTAATAGGATTTCGGCTATGCTTAACCAATCGGTTGCAATTTTATTGTTTTTTTCGTTGTTGTTTTTCACCGTGGAATTACTGAAATAAACGATTAACGTTAATAAGTTTAGTGACAGCTATTCATTCTGCGATAAGTCTGAAGCAAATTACCTGAAATGGAACAATAGTATGTTTTGATTGTTTAGAAATTTGGACTAGAAAAGCAGGCAACTAAGGAAAGGAAATGGATTTACTAATCTACAAGTCATTGCAATAGTGAAATTTTATACCATGTGAATGATCGGCTATTACTTGCTATTCACTATTTTGGACGTAAAGCCTTTTACATTAGAAGAGGAAGGGGCAAATGTTTTCACTTTTCATAGATTAAGCTCGTTTACGTAAAGAATCGTCGCCATTATGAATAAAATAGTAAACAATTCGGTTTTGAGAGATATTTCCTGGTCATTTAGTTAGCTGAGCTTTAAAAATTTATCGTCAGAAAATCAAGAAAAATAAGCAATTTTGATAGGGAGAAAAAAATCCCCCCTAAAGGATATGATCATCCATGGAATTTGTTTCTAGAATTTCGTGAAACATTATTTCACACGCCTGACCAACACGAAGAATCTTTTCATGTCCATGCCTGCTCGCGAACGGAAAACTATCTTCCACGCATGTTGACACGTAGAATTCTCAAAAACAAGACTATTTCGGCCTGTATACACGCGGGAAAAAAATTTAACCTGCGCTCATATCGTGGAGAGTATCAAAATTTCCACATGGATGCACTCATAAATGTACATCATTGCGTCGATTTTCCGACTTAGCGCCGCCTCCGAAGGCAAAGAAAAATTATTTTTACTTACACTGCCGCCGCTGAGCAAAACGTTTGCTGCCAGTGCGGTCGAAGAAGAGAGTTTTAAACATATCCAAAAATTGTTTTCACGACTCAAGAAAAGAGTCTCAGAAATCGCCATGGACAGATAAAATCATAGTCCGAAAACAAAATAAATTAAGGTCCTCCGATGAACCATCTTGAAAGAACTGTTCCACAAGACCCCTATTCCGAGAAAAACGCGAGTCGTTAACTAGTGATGATTTAGGACTTTCAGCAGAATTCGCATAACTTGAGATGGGAGGATCCTACAGAGCTGTGAGACGTCTCATTTCGATGATAACTCTCAGCTCTACACAACCACACACAAGTTCAGCAAGCAGAAAAATTCAACTAAAAGTTAAATGTTAATAAACCGTTTTTATCACTATTTCTAGAGCACTTGTTCAAAAAGTACGAAAAGCATGGAGTTTTTCGAAAACAAAGGTTGACTCTGAAAGAGAAATGATATGACTACTCGACCATAGGCTTACTTCAACTATGAGAATACCTATTTTCTCTCCGCTCCAGTGGAGAATTTGGCGTGAGGTGGCACGGCAACATTGAGAAAAAAGCATAATAATAAGCTTAATTGAATGTTGCCCAGTGGAGAAAAACAATAAAGTCCAAGCGTGGAATTAAACGTGCCTCTTGTGGAATTAAAAAACTCCAAACAATAAATAAAATTTGAATAAAACGTTTGTAGACACCATCTGAATCCGTTACATACGTTTAGAACACTGTAGTGATCTAGTACTAAACATTTTCATTCATTCTATCGGTAGTAATACTTCTTTTTATAAAAGCATGGAACTATACAGAAGTGTAGACTGATAAGTAGCATGTGATTACTCAATGAGTCATCGCAGACTGTTCATACTGAATGTATATGAAGTGTCACGTGACAACTAATTATCTTATAGAAGAGTCACTGAAAT